TCCAATCTGATCTACAGTTTAACATATGTGCTGACCTTATTAACAGCATTGCTGATGTTCTGAGTGAAAACCACTGAGTGAAAACCACTTGAGTTATTGTTACAGAATTCTATATATATATATATATATATTTTTTTTTTTTTTTTTTCAAGAAAACAAAGAGTAGATTGATTGATCGACATGCCTGTTGTATCGGTAACATCCGTTATGCTTGAATATTTTACGAAACTACCTAAAAACAATATGAGCTTAAATAAAATTACGAGACCTGTATGCTATACAAAAGCGCAGCGACTAACTTGTAGAAATTTATTATTCTCGATATTACGACAGTGGACATATATAAAAGTCATATCATCTAAGAACAATCAATGAAGGGGCTAAACCTTTCTTCAAATTTTCAGTTGACAAATATATAAAACATCCTGCGTTTAGCTTACAGAATTTTTATACTCTATACCACTTGCGGTACAAGGTCGCATTCATTTTTCGCATATGTATACGACGCCCACAGGGCATTGACTTAGGCCCATCTTTCAACATATTCACATAGCCTATCCGTCCGTATCTTCGCCTTATTTCTTTATGTTCGCACAAGGCTTACGGCCAAAATTTTCAAGATATTACGATGAAATTCGCCGTATTGATATATTATGGCCCAAGGACGAACGCTATTGAAAATGGTTCAGATCCGACCACTTCTCATATAAAGCTTTATTAAAGAAAAGTCATTATATGAGTGACGTAGGGTAATAGTGGGCCGGCAAAGGGAAAATACAGAAAGCATTCCCCTTTGGTATGAAAACGTTTCCTAGTTTTCTCAATGGATGCGTTAACTGAGTAGGATAGTTCAAAAGACGCAAAGATCTTTTAGTATTTGTGCAAGGCATGAACATTTCTTACAAATATATAATCTAGCATAGGGTATATAAAATTCATTGTAAGACGGAGCGTATGAAATTAAACTTTAATGCAAAAAAATGAAAGAAAAATAACATACCTTTAGGCGTTGTCATATTATATGGTTAAATAAAATTACACAGCTTGAAGGAATGAAGAGAATTTTTTAATGGGTGCCAACGTATCACGCAGATCATTGTGAAAGTGAAGCTTCTTCATAACTAGCTAACCATTTCATTTCTGCATTGTGCTATCAGTACACTATCAATGAGAATGACAAACGTAATATTGCACTCATTTTGCGGTTGTTCAGTGTGAAAGCATTTGTGAATGCATTCACTTAGCATCATCAAGCGTTATTGCATTGAAACGGTTATTCGAGTGTTTTTTTTTTCTCCATTAAAACACTTTTGTATTGGCGATGAAATATATTAAACATTATACTTAAATATCGCGTTAAAGACAGTCGTATAATAAATTTTAAAAAAATAACAGCCACATAGATATACGTAAATATTAAGTGACGTCGAACAACAGGTCAATGAGAGAAATGAATTATTCGCTTACAATAAAATTACTTTTAATAATTTGTGTACTCAATGCACGAGCTCTCAATCATACTTGGGGCTCGCTGGGAATATATGATATATTGGTGGCACGCGATGATGTTCAACATCCAGGCATCCTTATGAGTGTGACATCTCAGTATATAGTATTTCCACCTAAGGTAAGCGAGCCTTTAAAAGTTAAGAATGCACGATACGAGCACGAAGTAAAATGTAAGCAAATGATTTTTGGTCTCGTTTTAGTATCGTGGAAATAATGTAATCATATCGGCGGTTAGAGTTTGGGATTGGGGCTTCTCGAACAGTTTTGCATATATTGACTTAGTTGAAGGTGGTCCTGGTTATCGTCATTGCAAACTTCATATAGAATCACAACGTGACGAAGGCTTTCATGTTAGTATCGAATACTTTGGTCGTTGAATACAATAAATATGGAAAAATGTTTTCTTTTCCTCAACATATTTACTTTAATGTATTAAGTTTAAGTAACCTTTTAAATGAAAAAGAATTTAAACAAAGCGTCTTTACGGGGAAAAAGATAAAATATTTGCAGTTCTAGTATTATTACTATTATTACTATTATTATTAAAAGATTTTTTATTGTTTAGAATATTTACTTAAGTTTTAGAGAGAAGCATAGAAACGAAATATATATATATATATATATATAAGATTTTTACTTATTTTTCTGTTTATTAAAATCTAAATATTATTTTAAATATTTATAAAAAAAAGAAAAAAGTTTTCCCATTGCTTTCATCTTTTCTCGCTCAACACATAATAACAATAAACCACATATTCAACAAAGTTTATACAAAATTGTTTGCATATATAAACAAACTTATATGTATATGTATGAAACTGTTGGAGTCGTATCGAGATATATGCCAGAGACGTAGATAGTTTTTTTCTTCTCCTTTTTCTTCCTTAAAAACTTTAAGCAAAGATTCACAAATTATTTCAATAGAACTAAGCATGTCGTAGTAGCAAGAAAACTAGATTTCATTTAGAGATTTTTCCAGCTTCGCTTGGGACATATATGCGGAAACCTAACGAGGTAAAGTTGTTAGCTTTCTTTATGCTACCATAACGGTAACTTACCACTTTACAGTGCCGGTTGTCCACTGGTAGTCTGTTTGTCGCCGAGGTTTACACGCCGTCATACCGACAGTCATCTCTTACTTAGTATTGAGATACAACAAGTTGCTTTGGTCTGCAAGCAATTTCATCTGAGATTAAGAAGAGAGCCGATAGTCTGCGCGACAGTCTAAACTAAAACAGAGTTCGTACCAGATAGAAACTGCAGCCGAGCGGCCGCTCTATCGAAGGTTCGAAAAATGTTAAATGTGCTAAGCAAACTTTGCGTTTGAGTGCAACAAGCAGCTTAGCATACCTGCAGCAAGTAAATGCGAATATAGGATGAAGTCGACGTGAGCCAACAGATTTAACACACAATTGAAAACTTTTCCATATCATTAACCTGACGGTATAGACGAGAAAGGCTCGCTCTTAGCACAAAGACATGATAGTACTGAAGGAACAGTTCAATGTTGTTAATACGGTAATCGCATCATTTAGGATTTTCGACAAGAAAGAAAATCCTTTAAAAGACTTTACTTTGCTGTTGCAGTTTGCCTTCTTCTCGAAATTCATTTACAAATTCTCCAACTTTTCCTAAAAACTAGCGACCGGCAGGCTAAGCTACTGGCAACGCCTAGTCGTCGTTAACATTTGCGACCTCAGCTAAAACGTTCTCTGCAACTTCTTCACTTTTTTCTCTGCTGTGCATAGTGATCAATATGAATCATTTTTGCCTGAGGGAGACGTTATGCCCGCTCATGGCAACGATTATCGGGTAATTAATGAAACAAGAATAATGAAGAGCTTCACAACTTCCGTTGAATATTGCTTAAGAAAATTAGCATAAGCTTGAACAAATTTCGTCTAAGAATAAATGCAAAGCTTAGCATTGCTGGGATTTATGTTTTGAAAAAAATAAGGAGAAGAGCTATGAACTATTTCACTATTCACTGTCGCTCGAAAGGTTGGCGCAAATCGGTCTATTCGCGTGAGCAGAGTCAGCACAAAATGCAGACGATTTTTGAAGTTATGAAGTATGCAGGATTTACCCAAGATCTTTTCAGTTATGCTAAGGACAATTTTAAAAATTTGTATTAAGCGAAGAGATTAAGAGAAAGAGGAGCAACGCTCGCTTCTTAGATAATTTGTCTGATACATCGATTTGTACGATCGTGTCGTTATTCATAGACAAAGCAAACATGATAGGTCCACCAATCGTTTAAAGTTTAACGCATTGCTTTTACTTATCCATGATTTTATTCCTTGGCTTTCTGCACCCTAACAATGTTGTCACAATAAAACTTTTGACTTTATCGATAAAACACATGTCACACGTGGTGATCGCAAAGATCGTTTGAAATATAACACCGTTCAGAGAGTTTTGCTGAGGTAAAAACAAATGATAGGTAGATTGCATAATACTAACATAAGTTCCCTGCGTACACGAAAGTCCACTTGTTTTGCAATGGACGATAGTACGACCTACCGCGCAGCTGTTTGTTGATGCAATTAAGAGCAAAGCACAGAATGTTATTGCGCGCTTCGTTGTCCATTGTTGGATTTATTTCTATTTAGTTTTGACACGATCTGTATCAAGCAGTTTAGTCACCTCGTAAAGATCTTGTTTTCTATGTTAAGCATTTTAGCTTTTCCAATGCCAGCTGATATATGATGCTTGAGCTGATATACAAAACACTAAAGCAAACCCAGTTATCATAAAGGAAAAAATTATTCTTCGAAATACTCGCATTGCAACAACAACACTCCCTAGTTACGCTACAAGGGTGTATGAAGTTGTGCGGATGTTTGGTCTTGAGACCAACTTTTATTGCACAAACGGATTTAGAATAATTTTCTGAATCGATCTAATTTGCCTGTCGGTCCGTCCATATTCTTGCATTGAACCGGCACGTGGCGGGTTTTGGGATATTTTGTTATAATTTACTACACCGACGTGTTTAGACATAAAGACGGACGCTATTGAAAATGGGGTAGAATGCACAATTTCTACCATGACCGCCCTATTTTGAAAAGCCGTTATATGATTAACTGAACTAAGCGAAGCGGTATGGGGTATTTAACACCGGGTCGCAGCCCGTTAAGATGTTTCCATGGATCGACAAAGTACTGTAAATATTAAAAAAAAAAAAAAAAAAAATTTCAAATAAATTTTTGTTTAACTTTCAATTAATTTTTTTTTTTTATTTTCCTGGTATTTAAATAGAAAAGAAATATCTTGAAAGTGTTGTTGTTTGAGGTTTTAAATGTTTTATTTTATTTTTTTTTTATTTATTAATTTTACATTTACTTAATCGCAAAAGTATAACCAAGAGTTGCGTAACACGAAAGTAATTTACTTTAGATTAACAGCTAAAAATAATCATAAAATTATTAAATATTTATGTTACAGTAATAATAATAATAATAATAATAATATTAATAATAGTAATAATTGTTTATAAGAAATTAAAAATATATGTATGTATATGTATGTATATTTGTTCAAAATATATCATTTTCCATAAATTTCAACATGAAACATTAAACCATAATTGTACTGAGATTGCAACTGCAGTGTTACAAAATTAAATCCGGGTCCACCCGAATATATTGTGGCGTGTCCTCCTGTACCATTGGTGACCTGGTCGAAGGCACGTATCCCGGTTATGATGCGTCCATTACCAACACCCTGATGATTAAGTAAAAAAGCAATTGAAAACGAAATAGACTTTTAATGCGAATGAGAGAGAAAAAGCAATTGATTAACGTTATAATGGAACATGAAATGGGTTAGAGAAATGATTCCTTCCATCAATTTATTTCTTTATGCACCAAAAGAACTTGATTCTTTGCCTAATTTCTAGGATAATAAACTCAATTTTAACTGATCCGTTGATCTGTGTGTTAACAAGATTAGACTACTAGGCACTAGGCTTTGTAAAAGTCGGGTCGAAAGTATTTCAACCATCCATACGTATGCCTTTGATTAGACCTACACTTGAATACGCTTCCGTCGTGTTGATTCCGTCCCATCGTTGTCATGTAGATTTTATCGAATCAGTCCAAAACCAATTGGAACTTTTTGCCTTGAGGAATATGACGTAGGACCGTCAAGTCAAGACATATGATATCAGATTGCTGTCAATAGCTTTAATTTCACCTCAGGGAATTAGGTTCACTTTGGAGGATCAGCTTTTTGATAGAGCGAATAAATGTTGCTACAGAGACGACAGCCTTCAACCCGTCCATTTAGGAGCTATTGGCACATAAAACTGAATTGTTCATTCCACTCAGGGTTGCATGGAAAAACTCGAATTTAATTTACAATCCAATCTCAATATCGGATCCGGTACAAGTCAATAAAAAAAACTTTTTGTACAGTTCGTGCTTTGCCCGTCTCATACCTTACCAACACATTACAACACTTAAATTAAGTACCAAAGTCCATCGAATGGTGTTCAATTAAGGGTTAGTGGGCTTTGTTCGGTTGGCTTATGGTCCCTAAGTTTCAAGGCTTGGACACAAGAACACTTTTTGTTTCTTTCGCTCTATTCATAAAAATCTATTTTTCTTTTTTTCTCTTTTACTAACTGATTTAATATTGCACTTAACTAGTTAACTAGTTTTCTGCTCGCAGTGCACCAGCCATTTACATAAGTGACCTTAAGCAATATTATAACTTTCCTGAATTGAAATTAAAAGAATAAACATGAAATGTGGACAACTTGTCCATACGTGATTACGTACTAAATGAATGTGGAACGTATGTACTGGATGGGATCACTCCCAAGTACTTATGAGTGTTCTTAAAAGAACAAAGCAAACATATAGCTTAAGGAGCATTCTGATATTGTGAGTATACGCCTACATACACATACTATGCGATGGAGTTTTTGTAGAACAAAAAACTACTCAGGGCATAGTTACTCGCTTCGCAATAGCATCACTTCCCGATGATACTTTATCAGTACAAGAAATATGAATAAAAACAAAAAAAAAACTAAATAAATTTATGAGAATATTAATCGCAAGCAAAAGATTTCCGGTACCACGAGATGCGAAAACGAAACGCAACTTCGCACTCTGTTAGTATACACGAAAGTGTGCATGTGTATATGTAGATGCAAGTTTTTGCGTCTAAGTATAAATGTTAGGAGAGTGAATGAGCTAAATGAATGAAGCGAAACGAATAAATCAATAGCACAAACTGTGCGTTGAATTTCTCAAAAACACACATACACATACTTCAATATATAAAGTGTCACAGTAAAAATTTTTTTTGAAAAAAGGAAATACCAAAAACCACAAATATTAACTTTCGCTGAAAAATCTAAAATTCATTGATAGACGTTTTTGTAAAATGCTTAAGAGTATGAATAAGCGTTTGTGTTGGTAAGAAACTTGTCAGAATATTGTATTAGGTAACATGTCAAAAAAGTATTGGGAATTTTAAATAAACCTATCCCGTGTCATAGGAGGCAACTTGAAAAACTTGAATTGACTGAGCTCTGGAATGGTTAGTTGTTGCAACATTTTAATTATTTCCGTACAAAAATTGCTTACGGTGCTTATGTATGCGAACAAAAAATTCGCTTTAAATTTCTTTTTCTCGTTCTTGATTTCGCTTCTTTTTTTTTTTTTTGAGAAAGAGATATGGGGGTACTGGACGCAGCCTAGTGGGTATGTGACCGGGTCGGTAAATGCTTACGGTAATAGCTACGATCAAAGTGAACTCTACCGCACTTGAGATTTGAGCTCCGCTACCACTGCCTTAGTAGTCGTGATTCTTACCTATGAGTCTACTCTGGCCTGCCAAACGCTAAATGTGTGAAAAAAAGGGAAGATCAATTTGATGATCTTCTTCCACCTTTATCAACGGAGCACTTACTATGGGACCGATCAAAATAAACTCTACCGCTCTTGAGATTTGAGCTTTGCGACGACTGACTAAGTGATCGTGATTTTTACCTATGAGTCTACTCTGGCCTGCCAAACGCTAACTTTGCCAAAAAAGAGAGAAGATCTATTTGAATGATTTTCTTCTAAAAATCATAGGGGTATAAATTACAGGACAATCATCAGAAGGCTTAACGTAACTGAAGGCCTATCGACTGTCACAGCAACTTTCAAGAAAATCTTCATCATCAGCCCACGTGTGTTGTTGAACCGAACTTCGCCCCAATGGCCGCGCATAAAGATGTCACATCAATAGTTCCTTATAGTTAAAGATTATTTCGTTTAGAAAGCTATTCTTATGTATCACTATAGGTTAACTATTTTGCAGAATTATACTGAGTGAGAAAGTTTGCTCGCAGTCAACGAGAAAGCGACGGTTTTGAAAGATTCTCTTCGAAAACTAACGAAGGCAGAAATGGATTCTCAGCCATTTACTTTTACATTGCAACTCGTCTTCGCTCACTCGAACATTCGATATTCTTCCTGTAACTTTCTCTCAAAAGTAAAGCATGATTCCGACAAAGTAGTTCCTAAAAGACTACCACATATATGCTTAGACGTTAAATTAAATTTGCTTTCTACGATCGAGTTTACTCTGGAAAACATCATCTAAAGCATTACGAAAAAATTAAAAAAAAAAAAATAGTAATGAAATGAAGTGCTTTGGTTCATTCCATTCCCGATACTTTTTTGACAAATTATGCACTAATAAAAATTTGAAGATGTGGAAATAAAACAAAAAATAAAAATGAACAAAATAATGAGAAAAATCGCAAATGAACCCACAATTCAAGTGGGAACGTAAATGTTTCAATTTGTATTTTCGTGAAGATAAGAAAATATCTTTGTATGCCTGCTTGTAAGTACGTATGCGGATTTGAAATGGAAACGAATTCTGAAATGTGAAATCAGCAAATACGCACATTTGTACGTGCGAACATACACATACACACACAAACACACACTTGCTAACTTACACAACCGCATATATTGAACAAACGCATGGGCGTACACTCATTCATATACACAGACGTACATGCTAAATATACGTGTAGTGTAGATATTTCCTTTAAGCAATTATTTTTTTTAAACAATTTTTTTCACTACTGCGATGAATATGAATCCTTGGCATATAGGTATTTTTTTTGGTGCGGTTATGTATGAAATGAATGCATGCAATGAACAAATTTCATGAAGACCTGAGTTTTTCTTACGTTTTTCGGAAATTTAATTTCACGATTCACATATTTCTCTGGTGACGATGCATTGAATACTTGTTCTGCGTGCAGTAACTGGGCTGAATTAGAGATATTACCCCATGTGCTGGAGATAGCATATGAGGTAGCAGCCAAGCAAACCAATGCAGTCAAGGCCGTCAACCTTAGTTTAAACATTCCGCATTCGCTCAAGTCTCTTCCCCTCTTTATTAAGGCTTTATTCCGTTTTCTTCTCGTCTCGTTTTTTTTTAAATTTTTTTTTATTTTTTTTTTTTTTAGAAATTAATTTATTTCTTGATTGTAAAAATTACAAAGCCAACAAAAAAAAAAATAAAAATCTTTTTTGATCGTCGGAGGTTTTGTTTTCTTTACTCTTCTCTTTAAAGAATTATTTACTTGTCCGTTGTAGCATAGCCCGAAAACTGCTCGAAATGACTCGTGACTTGAAACTAATCTTTGCTTTCTTGCTTCAAAAATCTCTAAAGCTTAGCTGAAGTAATCCATCAATATGTATATATATATGTATATATATACGTATGTGTATATGTTTATTCAGTTCGTTTCAATATACTTCTCTCTGCATGTTATATGTTAAGAAATTTAAAAATAAAATTCATATTTAAGAAAACGAAATAAAATTCTTATCAATTTTTTACTTTACTTTATTCTATGATTATTTCCTCGAACTCTTAAATTTCTTGTTTACTTCTCTTGCAAATTTCTTATAATGAGATATTTTATATTGTAGTTGTAATGATGTCATTAAAAGTTTAATGAAAAGAAAGAAAAAAAAAAAACAAATAAAATAAAAAAAACTAATGACTAATCGTTAAAGAGAAAAAGGAAAAATCATATGCTTGTGATAAGCAAAATTAAATCATTTGGAAAACTAAGATGAAAGGCATAATCAAGACATCACGTGCATGTTTACTGACCCACTCACGAAGATCTTTGTAACGAACTGTCTCTTGATTTGTGCACTGTACTTGAGTTTTATGGTTTTTTACTCTTGTAACGGCAGCGAAGGAGAAAATATTTGTCCTCAAATTCGAAGAAATGAGCGACACCCACCAAAGGGGCTGATAAACCTTTCAGATAGTGATGGTGGTTTCAACATGCGGACAGGGAGTCGTATTTATTAAGAATATAAATACTTTTCAACTTCTCGCTGCATACATCGTTACATACATGGACATGGAATACACACTTGCGATGGATGTGATAGGTGGAAGAATAAATTTCTTCCGTTTTTTTTTTTTTTTTAATTCAAACTAATTTTAAATATGCTTTGTACAAAGTTTAATAATCGAAATATTCTTTTATCACTCATCGGATAGCTTATGGATGCCCTCGTTATAGAAACTTGCCGGTTTGGAGGCGAAATAATTGTCGAGACTTTTTCGCATATCTTCAGCTTCTTTGACCAGCTGCTGACATGTTTGATATGACTGCATCGTTCTGACCAGGGCTGGAGAGTAGTCAAGATGTCGTAAAACTTCGCTGCCGAAGCTGTGGTTGTTTTCGCTGGAGCCGGTCTCGCAAACCACTTTCTAACGGCTTAGTTTCGTGCGCTTGGACTCGTAGCTTACAGTCCAAAACAGAGAGAATATAGTTCCATAATTATTTTAAACTAAATAGTAGTGTATAAACAATAGAAACTTACTCCGCTCAAACAGCAATAGCTAAGTTGCCTAAGTTGAAGGAGTCAAGTATTTTTTATGAGATAATTAAGCTAAAAAGTAGTTTGCGAGATTTCATAGGAAAAATTTGAACATGGTGAACGACCTGAAGATGCACATCAGATGCTGGATGAAGGCATTCGAAGTTTAATGGACAAGAATCCAGCACAAACTGAGAAAGAGTTTATTGCACAAGTAAGAATTAATCAAAAGTCAATTTCAATGCAACTGTATACGAAGAGTAAGATACAGTATACAGGGAAATGGATCGCACATGAGCTAACCAAAGACAGCAATGGGGAGTTGCCATCTGTTTGCTTTTCTTAAATCGCTACAAAAGGAGGGATTATTTTTATCAAATTATTGCGGGCACTGAAAAATGAATCCTATACGATAATCGTAAACGAAGAGAAGCATAGGTTGACCCCAGGCCAATAATCCGTGTTTCTTGCAAAGCCTTAAGTTTGGGAGGAACTCATCTGCAGCGAATTTGTCTGAGAAAACCGTCACGGCTAAACGATATCAAGCACACCTTGCCAACTAAGTGGCGCACTTGAGAAAAAAAATTACTATTTATGAGCAAATGAACTCCAAAAGTGATTTTGTTTTATGGACGGCCGTTCGCTTAAGCAATCAAAGAAGTGATATTCAACACTGTTTGGGGGTTTCTTCGAATTGCGGACTAATCTTCGGACGTGGCGGCTTTTAAGTATTACTGATTCAGATCGAAAAAGTTATATTTAGCAGGTAAGCGGTGCATAAGACTTGAAAATGCGCGAAAATAAGTCAATGATTACTTTCAAGTCTCGCGAGGGTCGATAAGATGCAAAAGACCATCGATAGTTTTGGTAAGTATCTTCATTATTAAGCTTTGTCATAAGTAGGTTTTTCAAAAAAGACGGACAACTTTTTCCTGCACCTAACAAAACTTAGTTTCAAGCCAAGCAAAAATTGCTTGTGAAATGAAAGTTTTTATGTATTGCATGCCACTTTGCAGCGCAATGGTGGGCTTTCACGCTTCTTTTTTCTCTTTTTGGCATTGTCTAAACTTCTCCTTATTGTTTACTATGGTCTTATTTTACGCGGCTTTTCGAAATAAGTACTTGAAGAATAAGTGCAGAGATGGAAACTAAGGATTAGCTTATACGCTTACCTTCATATTGTCTTGAGAATAACATTTTGTTTACATTCGAGAATGAAATGCTTTCGTATTTCATTTATTAGATTATAATTGCTAAGCATCGTCTACACAACGCTTATCTATCAATCTAGAAAATTCCCCTTTTTTCCATTAGTAAAAACAATTATCCGTGCAGTTTCTATACAAAGTTTCATAAGAGTTGTAAGATTTTAGGAATTTTAGGTTAAGTTTCTAATACGTTAAAAAATCTGCACTTGTTTTGTTGAGACCTTAGAATTGTTTCCTCAGCAGGTGAAGAGGAACTTCTCGGGTATATAAAAAAAAAAAAAAAAAAAACTTTTCTTTATAACAAAAAGCATAGAACGAAGGCTTGAGACCAAAGACTGATGGAAGAACTAAGAAAATTATATTCGGCTGCAACTCACCCCAAAATTCGTGATAATCTTTCTCGTGCATATGTCGTAATTCATGAATAGCATGGAAGCATAACGCATATTAACGCATATTAGTCGTTTTCTCAGACCAATTTAGCCCACCATCAGGAGAATGCTTATCACAGGCAGACAGACGATTTAGTTCTTATCAAGAATATATATACTTTATGGGTTTCTGGAGCCTTTTCCCGGATGGTGCAAACATTTTGACCAAAGGAATATAACCCAATTTATGGGTGGGGGCTACAAAACCATCCCTCATAACAGCTCTTGCCTCTACTGCAATTCATATATCAAGTCTATTGAACCCTATATAATAATCGTTCGAGTTGCAAACTTTAAGACCGTTGACTAACGGTTGAAAATTGCGCTTACCGCCACGTTATAGCTTCAGATTATTTTTTTATTAATATCATCCATAGATTTGAGGTGATGTTCTTCTACCTTGTATGGACGTGACTATGTTCGTATTATGCCTACTTTCAAGCTCCGTTAACTAAAACAATAAGAAATGTATCACCATCGATCCAAGGAAAGAAGAGTTACGACGAGAGATGGCCGGACAAACGGACTGATCATTGTGAACACTCAAATGTTTTGCGAGCAGTTAAATCGATTCAAAAGATTGGGCATCTGATACACATAGGTCAAAATAAAACCTTTGCAGCGAAAAAAATTTACCATTAATTAGTAAATTCATAAGAAGTTCAAGGTCCTTTCTAAAGCTACTACATGACAAGTTCTACCATTAACCCCATATACAGAGCTTTAATTCCCACCCTTGGACCCCATACCTTAATTGTGATTGATGTATATCCGTACCTTTAGTGAGTCGATAGAAACATAATGCTTACCGATCTGGCACATACGTCCCAAGCTGGAGTGGCGCTATATTTCTCTATTCCCAGTTGTTTTTTTTTTTTGGCCACTAGCATGTTTACACAGGTCGACAAGATATGCGATAAATGACGGGCTAGTGGCTGCAATTTTTACCTACTTGGCTACTCACACCGGAAATCAGATTTTAACAGATTGGTAATCGACGTTACTAATTTTGTACGAGTGGATCCGTGGTCAGTCGATAAACGTTATACCTCTATTTGCAAATAGCTAAGTGCGTTACTTCTACAAGAGCAGCAACCTCCTTTTTTCGTAGCTTCCTTGTCGTTATTTTGTGAAGCAGTATTCTTGCAAAATTCTGTGAATAATAATCTTCTTTGGGCACGCTCGCAGCACTCAAAAATACTTGAGACGGATCCACCTTTTTTTATTATACCGATCGACCCAGCAAGTGACTTTGAAGACCCTATTTAAGCCCATCCATCCTTGTTATCTTGGATTCAATGTACAAGTCGTACAATTTTTGAGATCCTTTGATGCAATTCGTTACACTGACATGCTTTGACGCAAGGACGAACGCTCGACCTTTCGACCATGTCCCCTTCTTTTGCTTTACTTTGAAAATGCTATATAATGCAATATATTAAGCAAAGTGGTGCAGGTGGGTGTTGACCTACTATAGTCTTTTTACATGTTTTTCAAACACTAAGATGATTACTAACTAAAGCGCTTTTAATAGTTACAGTAGGATAAGCACACACATGTTACCACAATTCTTTCTTTATGGATAATTTTGAATTATTTACTTTTTTATGGGCTACGGCTTAGCCGAGTAAATACAAGTCGTGACCAGGTGTTTGCGGGTCAGTGCGGTTTTCCCATACTTGGTCAGTGATGTGCCAGTAAACGCATTACACTTACCGATTGGACGAACACACAACCACCTAATTGCAACTAATTTGTACAGCTTCGTTTCTCACCCCCCCCGCCGGCCCGCCCTCCCGACCACCAAAAAAAAACCGCCACAAATTAAATTAGTTTAAGGAGTTCAAGAGAAAATATTCACTTTTACACAACTTAGAAGTTGAAATCCTGCTGATTAGGTATTCGCGCAACAACTTTCCCTGTCCGTCTCTCATTTCGTCATTTTCAAATAACTCTCGCACTCTTTTAACATTTGATAATTTATTTGGTTTTTCTTTCGCTTATTTTGCTTAGGTATTATCTTACTTATCGGTCTCTGGGTTCCTGGTATACTGGCCGCCCTTACCTCAACCATCGGACAAATATAATATAAAATGTTTGTTTTTTTCCTTCCAAGAATGACAAATTAACTGTAAGTCCATATTAAAAAGAGAAAGTAAAATGCTAAGATATGTAATCAGTTTAAAGCTTTTTGAAATTGTTTTCAATTGCTTTTGTTTGAAAAGTTTCTTATCAAAAGTGTAATATAAAAATCAAATATTCTGCTTATCGCATATTGGACGCATCACCCTTTATCAATTAATGAGTGACTTTTTTAATAAGTTGCAATTAATTCTTGTTTTTTTTTTTTTTTGTTTCTTTTTGTTTTGTATTTGTATTTGTATGTGATTTCATTCAATTCATCGAAATAAATTTTTTATTATTATGTCTGTCTCTTTATAGTATACATTTTACAACAACGGAAGTTCAAATTACAAGATATGCCGGAAAACTTTGTAAATCGCTATGTAATCACCTAACACACAGTATGAACACTTTAATTATATTTTGATAAATATTAATTGATTTGATAACAAACTCAATTGGTTTTTGTCATTAAAAATTCTTATAAAAACTTGCGAGTTCTTTACCTTATAGCACAGTTTTCGTTCTGACTGCTTTCTTATTAATTAACACTAAACTCGCAAAAAAGAAAAAAACCCATTAAAATGAAATTCATTTTCTCATTGGTTTTATTGGCTTCGATAGCCTACATCAGCTATGCGGTCAGTGTTACATGGGGCAATCGGAACAGTAGCGATGCTCTGTTAATGCGTCAACGCGTAGTTCGAACTCCTTTAAAGAACCAGTACTGGAGTGTTAATGTGGAATTTCCTAACCCGGTAAGTGCGTGTGTGTCTGTGTGTGTGTCACGGATTACTGTGAAAAATTCTATAACCGTTACTTTCTCTACATTAGGGCCAAGCTAATCAACGCACCATAAGCGCTGTCATTGTTTACGATCATTTTAATAATAAATCCGGAGCTCAGCCTAGTCTATGGTCCGGCGGTCCCGGCTGGAGATTTGCTACAGTCAATTTGAAAAGTGTTATGTCTGGCGGCATAAACTCTACTGTCGAAATGTACGGTAGATGAAATTTATAAATTTAAGCAAAATTTCATAGATAATACTTTAATAAAAACAAGTTCAAAATCATCCATTTTAAGTGCGTGAAGATCTAACAGGAAATTAGAAAGCAAAAGTAATGCGTGATATCAGATTGAGAGAGTCTTCTTTTAATTGTACTCATCACCGAACAACATGGACATATTCATATTTTGTCAGAATGTTTGCACCATTCAAAAAGAGGCTCCAAAGACCCCATAAAGAATATGCATTCTTGACGATTCTTGAGAAAAACTGGGAATTCACCGAAGCATGTTCGTCTATTCACCTGTCAATCTGTTCTGTGTAATATTCGTGATAAATGTAAAGCAAGGATATATAGCCTTCAACTTAGCACTGAATGGTATCTAAGACGTCAAAGAGCACGTACAGTGCAATATGAACTGAGAACTCCTCTGCTTTCTGATCATTTTGCTCAATAAGTCAAACCATCTTTTATAAAAATTAGAAATCCCTAAGTCGCCGTCTTGTATATGTTTGCGAAGCCCAATAAGCTTAGTAAGCAGTAGTAAGCATTTTGTGTTTTACTTGTTTTTAATGACACATGTCCAAATATTATCATTGAAGTTTTTCTCAAAATTAATTTTTACAACTTTTTACTTTCTTTTATTTGCAATATAAGAAAGTTGTGAAAAAGCTTCGAAAGTTCCTCTTTGGTTCACGAAAATGTGAAAAGGTTTTAATAATTTGGAAACTTTTTCTTTTTAATCTCAGTTGTATGGGGGAAGCATAGTAGTTTTCATGCTGGTAAGGCGAAGCAATAAAATTTCAAAAACTCTATAAATCATTTATATGTAGTCTTGATCAGTATATAATTCTAAATCGATGCGTATCCATTTGTCCTCTTATTCGTCTTTATAATGGCTGTAGTAAATATAAGTCTCGATTGCAAATATGAAAATATTGACTCGAAATTTGGCCAAGGCATTGGAAAGTCCGACGTGAAGGTCACTAATGAAAATAGACGACATCGTTTAAAAGACATCCCTGTTTAAAGGAACCCTCCCGCTCTCAACAACATTTCGTCATTTCATCTTTAAAAATGGGTAAGGGGAGTGGATTAGTTTACCTACGATAACTAACAAGTTTTCTATAAGATGGGAGACAAAATTTCAAAAGTTCTTTTTCTTGCGTTACTTAAGTTACGCTATAAGAAACCTTTTACACAATGATCAACCAGCCCCAGATATGAGAAGAAAAATAATGAGATGATTTTCTTATTCTTTGGTACAGAAGGTAAACAACTTTCATATCGTTAGTTTTTCTTTCTCCTTTCTCTTCCCTGTCTGTCATATTAATGGCCATAAATCATAAATTCAAGTAAAAATTTATGTAAAATATTTAAATAAATTACTCCAGAAGCACAAATAGTCACTTGGGAATTATTGCAATGGCTTTGTTATAAGCATCTAATCAGACTTTTGTTTGATATTTTTGTGAACTTTTAGAAGCTTGTGATACCTTCTTTCCTGGAGCAAAATTTTAACTACGGCCTTGATGTATATATGTGTACTCTCATGTAAATATTTTAAGTGATTTATTTTCATAAAAACATTTTATTGTTTTCTTGTCAAAAAAAAAAAGAAAAAAAGAAAAAAGGAACCAATCAATAAAATTTTTTTTTTAAATTTCTTTAATAGCAAAACGAAAGCATATTTCTGTGCATTGATTTCATTTTTATGCAGATCCAGTAAATGCATCTAAATCTAGCGAGTCACTTACGAGTAAACTTCATTTGTTCGAGAGACAAACCATTCCAAATACATAGACAGCAGCTAGCGAGAACGACCTTGTAATTGTGATCACCAGCAATATAGTTATTTCCAAGTACCATGCAATGGTGGTCACTAAAGCCGGTCGCTTAGTGTTAGAAAACGTGATTGGCAATAAGTGCCACTTTATAAATCAAGGCATTGGGAGTTCAAAATTTTCATTTCCAAAAATTCGAAATTCATAAAACATGGAAGATCTGTCAAAACTATTATTACACTGACCATATTTTTATATCATCGAGTTATTATCGTAGTTATAGTGAGTGCTTAGTCGATAAAGGCATAGCATTGGCCACATACCCACTAGGTTGCGGCCGCTATCCTATCTCTTACTCTTTCCTCACTTCTTTCCGACTGTCCCCGTATTACGTGAATAAAAGACATCTCCTGGTTGCTCGTATAATAAGAAAAAATGTTATCTCTTTTCTTATATTATTTTAGTCTACACGACTTGTGGTGCAGGGCATGTTAACTTTGCGAGAAGAAGGATTTGAGGTAAAATTCACCGCTTCTTTTTCGTGTCTGTTCATCTGTACGTCTGTCCGTCTCCGTCTGATTCCGATCTACATATTTTTCAAGTCAACCTACAGGACGCAATTCTATACAATCGGTACACAGACAGGTTTCCCTCAACGATGAACTTTACTGAAAAAGATTCGGAGCATTTTTCCGAACACTTTCCATAAACTTCCCAAATAAGATAAAAGTTTTATTATATCCTGAACTATTGGTAGCTTCCCCTAAGACCAGCTATAAACCGAGCGTTGAATTTCCAAGACCGGTAAACATGATTTCCAGATATTTTTTAATATATATTTACCTCAATATTTTAGGGACTAAGCAATTCGCTCACCATACCCAATGTTACCGATTATCGTTGCTGTTCTTCGACAACTTCGAATATCGTATACGTCTGATATATGATTCGTATAAAGCATTCAAAGAACAGTGAAAAGCTATTGATTGTTCCGTATAGCGTTACGGCGAAAATATCAATCTATCAGCTCATGATGAATTCTGTGTTAAGCCTATGAGGATGTGTGCCCCAGAACCCATTTAAGATAGATTTTTATTGTAGCCATTGGCCTAGAGAATGATTGTAACTTTTAATCAGAATTATCTTCTAAATTTGATTACAGGATTATTTGCGTAATTGATTTGTAACTGTCCATCTGTCCATCTGCCTGAAATTTTCGAGACTATTCTCCACGTACTACTGTACTGCACTGCATATAACTCTATACTATCAGAACTTCTTCGGGACGTGAAGTACCGTTTTCAAGGTTCGACCTTATCCGACTGTAACGTTTCAACTAGTTTCTATTTATTTAATAAACTTTTATTGAAATTCTTCAAAAGGAAAATTAAAATTTTATATTCTTTTTAATATTTGGGTAATTGAAAGTTAAAGTTTATATTAGCATATGGTCCCCATCATGAACGAGCACTTTAAGCTTGCAAAAAAAAAAAAAACTAAAAGGAAAATATGAAGTACTTCAGCATATAACCTTTACCTCAGAGGAATATAAACTTTTTCAGAAAAAAAAAAAAAGACAAAACACAACAAAAAAGAATTAAGAAAAAATATTTAATATATTCTTTTCCTTGTTATGCTTTATTACACACACACACACACACACGCAAGCACTGCCACACACAATATTATAAATAGTTCCCGTGATGTACATACGCGCAAACATAACACATATCAATATTCAATCTAAAAACAAAATTCTTTTAACGTTAAAACAAAACTGTTTATAAATTCTATTTTGTTGTTGTTTTCTTTCTATTGAGATTGTTGCTGTTGTCATGATAAAATAACAAAGTTATGCATTTTCATATATACACATATTTCATGCTCGACAGATGAATGAAAACAACATTATACGAGACAAATACAGAAGAAAGAAAGAAAGAAAGAAAGCCTTTCAAAAGATCGATTTTCACTTATCTCTACTACATCCATAACATTCTTCAGTGTTATAGGTATATCAACATATTAAGCCAAGTGGAAAAACAAAAATCATAACTTTGGCAACATTCCATAAAAAGGAACAATGTTGCTAAATATCTGCCTCTCTTTCTCTCTGCACTTTTATTTTCTGTCCGTCCACTAACTGCTTATGTATCGTATACGAGTGCGCGTATAATGAAAATGTACAATGCATAGAAGAGTTTTGTGAAGCATAAAACAACAACAACAACAACAATATTATTTGCATAAATTTGCATAACAAATGTATTGCGGTAGTAATGATGGCACGTTGTTGCTGTCTCTACCTATATGCATATATACATACATATATATACATACATATATATCGTATCTGTTTATTATTATGATGAAGAGCATGTTCTATTAGGTAAAACAACATGTTAATGCACATTATATATCATCCTGTTTATTTTACTTTATTTAATAGCTTTCTTACCTTTTTAGATATCATAAAATTTCTCGCTTGTGTTTACAAAACTGCCTTCGACTTAATTTTTACAGCCAAAAACATAACCGAAAACTTTGCTTTTCACAAGTAACTAATTAAATATATCATGCTCTGCGAAATATAAGATAGTAAGTTTTGACTTAATGGACGATTAGAGTTTCGCTTAAAACGAACGAGAAAATGATCTAATGATTTTACAAAATCTTAAAATTATTCTTTAACATAACCACTATTTACAAGCAGCTTAATGTAATGCGATCTCCAAGAGCAACACTACTACTCAGGTCGCTCTACAGCAAAGTCTAACGTTTTAGATCTTACGGCACAGTATACATAATGTCACCGAAGTGCAGACAGTCACACAATTGCGCATATAAATTTAAGGCTCACAGCCATGTTACAAATAAAGCTTTCTCCGGCCGCTATATATAACATTTTAAGTGACTCAAATGTGAAGGTACAACAGACTCGGAAAATTTTAGGAATCATGCCTTTGCAAGTTCAAAATAACACATAAAATATCAGGGAATCGTATTCCATGGGAAACTATGCCAGAGAAGGCACCTCAGATAGATATTCTTAGGGAAACTACCCCAGGCGACGTTACCTTCGAAAAAATGTATTCTTCGAGAATGTTTTCCAGGCAAAAAAAATATCCCAGGCGAACGTATTTCAGCCGAAGGTACTACAGAGGAAGGTATCCTCCTGGTGAAGGTAACCAAAGCAAATGTATCCATAAATAAATCCAGATGAAGATATTATTGGGGAAATTAACCCACCCGATGTTACCCTCGGAAAAAGGTATTGCTGGAGAATGTGCCCCAGGAAAAGGTATCTTAGGTGAAGATACCCTAAACGAAGCTACTCCAAGCCAACACATCCCAAGCGAAGCTACCTCATACGTAGGTACCCAAGTAAAGATATTCCAGGAGAAGGTACGCCAAAGGAAAATACAACAGCAGAAGGTGTTCCAGGTAAAGGTGCTCCAAGCGTATGTACACCAGAGAAAGGTAACCC